ACTCCACCAATAGAGGTTTACGACACCCAACACCACTAACTTTTGTTCACAACACGGACAAGCTCATGCCACTCTCTTTCCGACCAAACTCAACACTAATCCAACACCAAGCTACTCAAGGAGCAATAGCAAGGTTCCCCGGAAAAGAATTGAGCATTGCAACCCAAGTCTTTCAATAGCGAGCCTAGACAAAATGGTTTAGTGTTTCACCACTATCCATCCCATAACTCACCACTTGTAAGACCATCACTTCCAACATGCATCAAGGTAGGGACTCTTGATTGCATAATGTGAACACAAGCAATGAGTTAACACCTCATTGCAAATCATCTCTCCAAGAAGAGAAAATGATTTACGTATTTGATCCTCCGTCCTCGATGACTCTCTTTTCGGTCTCATCTTTGACCAAACCTCAAGCTTGCTTTCGCACTGCCTTCAGTTCAATCGAAGAAAAGTTTATGAGAGAGCACGGCAATGATTACTTGAACCAATAGACTATTCCCTACAGTCTTGACTGATCCAATTATAATCATGCCTAGGAAGGATCCACTAGTGCCGTGCTAAACAGCTATGGACCAGCCTATTTGCCACTCATAGCAAACTCAGGGAAAGTTTACTTTCACCCACGGTACATGGAACAACTCATGGAACCACTGGAACCATCGATAGGCTTACATTAATCCTGCCAACTTAAAGTGTAACCTCAAGTTGCTAATGCGCCTCACTCACGAGCCCAAGCTCAAACTCGTGCAAATGGAACATCTCCAATCCATCCTATGAGCCCAAGCGCAAGCTCACATCATAAGGTACAACAAGGTAACCCAAAACCTATCCCAAGGAACCAATGCGAAGTCTTTGCACCAAAACGTGTACCCACTCGGATCATCGTTTTCATCTCTGCGTATGCAACGAGACTAGTTGCCCAATCTCATTGAATAGTACTCGCTGAGACTCATCCTCTGATACCAAATGTAGCGCACGTGGTTTTGACCCTTTATCCTATGGTGATTTACCATAGGATAACACCACAAAGCGGAACCTAAACCCTCTTTGTGCCACGTGACAGATGCCACGTGTCACATGCCACGTGTCCATGCCACGTGTCCATAGAAACCCGAGGTTCAGGGCCTTGGGCCACTGAACGAAGGAACGGTGCCAAACTCCCAAGCGTGGAGCCAAGGAGTGATGGAACCGGACCACGGAGCAACTCCCGAGCATACAGCCCAAGGAGCGAAGGGACAGGAGCCCGGAGCGACTTGGAACAGTCCTAGAGCAACCAGCATCCCAATGCCAGGACCAGCACGCAAAACGGAGCCAAACAGAGTCTGGCGCTATTTCGGCATACCGGTGGCCTAACGCGAGGATATGGGTACTCCACCAACTAGCATGGAATGGAACTTGGGCTTAGACCCAAGCCGGACGCAGAACAAGGACAGGCACGCAAGCGGGAGCTAGACTATGCCTCAGGTTGGTCGGCCATGCCCGACCTACCCACTATCCCTACTATACATTTGGAACCCCCCACAGCCCCCCCCCCTTGAGGAACACACGCTTTGGGCTTTCACCCCAAGCCTCCCTTAGTATCAGGAGTTAGTCTCTGGGACAAACTCGAAACTTACTAAATATGGAATGTCCTTAGATTGCGAATTTGGACACGGGACAAACACCATTGTGTTCAGGCCGATCTCTACATTCTGTAGATATGCCAAATGAGCAAATCTGGACACTTTCCATAAATAGCATTTGGGACCGAAATGAGACTAACACAAAGGGCATGATAGCAAGGGTGTTTGGCAGACACGGTAAGCTATCATCTAGCGATGTTGAGGGACCAATCTCAATATCGCGGGGGTTCTTGATACTAGCAAGTGCAAGCCAATGACACAAGTTTCTCAAACCAGGCCGAGTATGCTCAGCAAGAAACACATAGGGTTCCTACCTTATGTTTATCCAATCTAAGTGCATGTTCATTGACCAGTTTCTCAACTAGTTCAAGTGGGAACTGATAACGGGTCCAGCAATACCGACCTCCTGCCATCGTGGCAGTAAGGTAAGAGTGTCCGTAAGGACTGGCCGACAGGTAACTTTCGATACCTGAAGTCACATTCGCGACAATGAGACTCAAGCTCTAAATCTTACTTTTCACGTCATACAATATAAAATTGTGTTCTAGGCTCCATTGCCCCACTATATAAGTTCTAAAAGAGTTAGCAAACAAATTCTAACACATTGAATTGAATCCTTACATTTCAATGGCAATCATTACACCATTTGTAGTGATGAAAACTCTAACTAGTGCATGTTTTTAAAGTGTTGGTGCAATTTCTTTTAATATCTCCATTTCAATAGGATCCTCCACCAGTGGTGTTTTTATGTGATTTGTAGTGGAGTTGATTCTTCCACAATTTGTAAAGGACCAAGATCTTGTTGAAAAAATGCATATGTTTTGTGGATCTGGGGAATAGAATATAATATGGTCCTCGATATTGAAGCCATATGTACATGAATAACATGCCCATTCTAAGCCTAAAAATTCACAATACCCACCTCAATAGAGCATGAATGTTTCTCTTAGGAAACAAAAATAATAACAAATGTGTCAATAGGTAGAAATTTATTATGCCACCCACAAATTAGTATTCCCGTACATGAATTAGAACCATGCATGGTTGATCTATAAATATTGCCTCTAAATCTCCATTTACACTTTGCATAAAACACAGGTTCATATTGTTTACTATATATTTTAAAGCTTATCAGCAAAAGACTAGCTTGAAAGTATGTTTGCGTGAGTGTGGTCATGTATATGTATAGGTTGAGCAAATTCAGCAAAGTGGAGGGCATCACCCATATGCCCCCTTCCACGTCATATAAACACATGCATAATTGACACATAAAGAATCATTACAACCACTTGTGTATAACTATAACATTCCAATGCCCCACAATTATGCTCACTGCAATGAGCATAAAACTTATACCAATGAAAAAAGCTAAATAAATGAAAAATTACCCCACACAATAACTATCTCTATGTATTGCAATATGCCCAAGAAAAGAAACAAAAAGCCTTGACCAACAATCTAATATAAACTCCAACCTTAAGTCCACAATCAATGCAAGAACAATGCCTATATCACGTGGGAATAGCACAATATGCCCAAAACACAAAGGAACGAGAGTTACAAGTATTTGCAATCTCACTTAACCTTGATCAATATATGCTAATCTTCAAGTGCCAACATCACTCCTAAATAGCACACATGAAAGAATGGAAGTCATAACTGCTTGCATACAAAGACCTCTCACCCAAACCCTAATCAATGCATGCTCCTACTCTTCATCACACCCACCAATATGTAAAATTTGCTTTTGAAGCATATCATGCCCACATCACACCTAAGATTGTGGGAAAGCTGTTGTTCTTGGCTGGATATAAAGGAAGTGCAATACTAAAGACAAAAAAAACTTCACTAGATTTTTTGTGATGTCTATGTGGCAGGTTTAAATGGCATACAAATCACATTTTAATCATATAAAATGATGTACTTTAAATTCTGTTGATTCCATATCATCATATTTTCTTGTAGTGTTAGTGATATAAAAAACATATTTAACTTTACTTTTACTACATAGGCCTTGCAAAACACCTCTGATATCTTGGATCAAACTTCCATGCTTAGTCACCTAAAACAGTACTTTTAGAAGTTCAGACTCTTAAACAACTTTAAGTAGCCTTTTATGGTCTTATTAAACGTATTATTCCCCAGGAGTAATGGATATTTCTGCACACCCACATTGGCAAGTTGCATCAAACACAATCACTTAGCAAGTTGGCCTCAAACACAATCACGTTTCCCCAATAACTAGCACAACTCCACCAAAAAAATATCAATAGCATTACCCCTTGATCTTGCCACTATGGAGAACAAAACGTGCCATGATACTAGTTTATATTTTCGAAGCGCAACTACACATGAAATTCGAAAAGTCAACAATCATTTTCCAGGATATAGCTTTCTAACATCAATCGGCGCTGGTGGTGATTGCATGGCAGCAAAAAGTTTGGCCGAGGCAATTCGAATCTCGGACAAAGTTGCCGCAAGGTCCACGAACACAAACTCGAGCAAGGTCTGTAGGAACCAATGTAGGATCTTCTTAGCAGCGGTCGACCATGTCGGAGACTACCTCAAGCGAATCCAGGATCTCAACTTCGCGAGCACTGGGACAGCTTTCGTGTGGGACGAAACCGTGGCTGTCCTTAAGAGAGGCCTCCATCTCCTCAAGTCGTGCCAAGAAGGCAATTGGATCGCGCGGAGCCTGCTGTTCAAGGAAAGCTGCGATGAGTTCCAGAGCATTTATACCGTCCACCTCGGTAAGATCCAAGATTGCCGAAGCTTACAACTCGTGCCTCATGAGGCAAAACTCGAACAGCATGCTGGAAGAAGCCGGAAGGAATGACAGGAAGGCGCTCATGGCTCTCGCAATGAGCCAAGAGCCGGGAAGCCTGACGACCGAGAGCGAGCAAGCCAAAGAGATACTTTGCTCCATGCTCCTGGGAAACAAGTCAGTGATTAACCACAAGGAACTCAAGCTGACAACACACCTGGGACAAGGCGGTTTCGGAACCGTGTACGAAGCAATCTGGCTCGGTCACAAGTTTGCAGTGAAAGTCTTCCCTCAAGGTGACAAGAGCTTCGCCAAAGAGCTCGCGGTTCTCGAAGCGGACAAGCATCCCAACGTGTTGCACATCGCCGGTCATTCTTTCGATGAAGAGAAGCAGCGGTACTCGCTGGTGATGGAGAAGATGGACATGGACCTGGCAAACTACGTCCTCAAGAAGAACTCTCTCCCGTTGCTGTCGATCGTGGCAGTGATGCTCCAAGTTGCTACTGGCATGGCGTGGCTTCACTCGAAGAATATAATCCACCGGGACCTCAAGCCGCAGAACATCTTGGTTGGCGAAGAAGACAACGATCTCGTGAGTATCAGGATTGCCGACTTTGGAGTCTCGAGGCCAAACTTCATCTCCTCCCAGATCGAAGCCGTTAGCATCCAAGGCACCAGGAACTTCATGGCACCGGAGGCGTGGAGCAGCGAGCGCTACACGAAAAAGGCCGACGTTTACAGCTACGGGATGCTGATTTACCAGCTTGTCACTGGAAACGTTCCGTTCGAGGACGGGATGGACATGGAGCAAGTCCTTCGAGGCAAGCGTCCTGAGATACCAGCCACCTGTCCAGAGTTCCTGTCGCAGCTCATGCGGGAATGCTGGAGCCACGATGCGAAAGAGAGGCCTTCCTTCTCGGATATCTGCGAGCGGCTGAAGCAGCTCAAGACCAGGATCATCACTGGCATCGAGTCCATCGACGAGTTACGGGTCAAGTTGGTTGAAGTAGCCGGGTCGTCTTCCTCTTCTTCGTACTCGTCGTCTTCCTCATCCTCGTCGCACAGCAGGACTCGAGTGAACCTGGATTCTCTTGTCCAAGCGACTGAAGGGCTTTGGACCAAAAATCCTCCATCTCCCCTTGTACAGGTAAACTCTTTTGTTTTTAGTAACTTCCGGTGCTCATCGTGTTTAGTTTCAGCCGGTACCACACCGTCCTCAGCACTTCGCACCAGTAGCAAAACCGGATAACAGGACCGAGCTCTTCGAACTGGTGAAGAACGGCCTCGTCAGAAACGCCTTCGAGAAAGCTCTGTCCCTGAACGATCCTTCCATGGTCTGGTGGCTTTGCACCAAGGTAATCCATTCACGTCCTCCAGCTGCTCATCAAAGCTTTGTCAGCTCAGGTGGAGCATACCGTCCTGCTTGTCTTCAGTGAATCAATGCTCATGGAACTGGCCGAGCAAATCAACACCAACTTCAAGGAAGACACTGCTCGCAGGTTGCTCTGGATCGACGAGATTGGCATCTTGCTGTTCAAAGACGTCAATGGACAGGCATGGTCATCACCTCGGGTGCTGAGGATCTTGGAGCAGCTTTCACAGAACTTCCACGGCATGATGGCTATAACACCGCCAAAGAGCGAGCTGGGGATGAAGCTGGTGAACATGCTGGGTGGCACCAACATGGGTCTCCAGGTTCGTATGAAGCTCTTCGTGTTATTCATTTGATTCAAATCGTTTGTTGTCGCAGCATATCTGTTAGGCACCAGCTTTGACTACGTGGTCAACATCGGTCAAAGGGTATATGAAGGCATGTTAGGGTAAGGGACTTAACTTACCCTAGGGCTCACAGTGGAGTGGTGGTGCAGTGGAACTTTTGAGGTAGCTCAGGGGTGGTTGGGTGGTGAGGAACCTCAAGAGGTGGCATAGCATAATCTAGGGCAACTAGATTTTTGTCTTTTTGCGCCGGATCATAACATTGGTATCAGAGAAGTTGGTTGCGATGGCCGACCAAGCTGAACGCTGGAATCCTATTGTCGATGGTGGTGCCAACAATGGTGCTGACGAAGCTGCAGAGATTTAGACCATTCAAGATGTGGTTCATGAGCTGCGAGCCCTTAACCGAAATCAGTAAGAGATGCAAGATGAGATGCATGGCATGATGGATACCATGCGTGGGCGTGTTGAGGCACTCGAGGCTGGACGGGGTAGCGCTCCAAGTAAACCTTCTTTGGTAGATCGACTCAAAATTCCAAATTTTTCCGGTGATGGTGGTGTGGACGAGTGTCTCGCTTGGCTAGCCAATGTGAAGAAGTTCTTGGCTGCTAGAGGAACTCCAGATGCAGAGGCTTTAGTGGCTATTCCGATGGTTTTGCGTGATGCGGGTTTTCGATGGTGGAATTGGCTTGAGGAGTCCCGTGTTGTGGATAAGAAACCACCAGTGTCTACCATGGATGAGTTTGAGGTTGCTTTTCATTTATGTTTTGCCCCTCATTACGACATGGAGAATGCTCGTACAGAACTTTGACATTTTCAGCAAAGGAAAATGATGCTCGGGGACTATATTGAGAAGCTTACTTGCTTGATTAGTCGTGTTCCAACGAAGGATCCAGATCAGAACAAGTCCTACTTCATTGATGGCCTACATAGTGAGAGCATGCGGCAACACTTGCGTCATTCTCAGCCTACAAAGAGTTTGAAGGAGCTCTTTGATGTGGCTCGTCGACTTGACAATGATAAGCACAAGTCTCGCAAGCGTTTGCGGAGTCCTTCTGTCGAGAATCGTCGTGATGATCACCATGGACACAAGGATGGGAACAAGCATCACAAATTGAAGTCAGTGGTGACTACTTCGGATGCAAAGGGGTCCAAGAAGTAGAAGTTCTTTGTGAAGAATTATAGACAAGGTTGTCATCATTGCGGCGAACTTGGACA